TGTTAGCGACTGCTGAGCAGTGCTTACACAGCTGCCTACCAGGACTAACCATCAACACCAAGCTAAAAACAGTTTCAGTTTCTTTAACTATGAGATTCTAGGCAATTAATATTCTGTATGTATCTCCTTTCTAATAACAGTCTATATTACCAGTAAGATTTATATACTCTTCAAACTGCACTACTACATTAAGAACACCTGACTGCAGCGTCTGATTCAGAGAGGAGAAAACGAACAAAAATGCTTTCTTGAAAGTAATGCACTCAGTTAAGCAAGTATCTTCTACTACTACACATCTGCCATATTTCAAAACGTTGGTAAGATTTTGTGCTATACGTTTCCCCAGGAACAAGACTGAAAGCAAGTCATCATCAGAAACAGAAACTATATTTTCCATCTCTGTTCTTCCTCCTCCTTTTGCATGTATCTTCTATCATCTTAAAGGAACAAGGTAAGACAATAGACAGAGGGAGGCTTAATATGCTTCTTCTCTTAAAAGGAAAACTACCACCATTTAAATCTTGTGAAAAGGACAGACAAAAATTGCCTGTTAAGTTTTAGTGTCTCTTTCCTCTCTCTCCTCTCTCCATAAGATTAAAAAAAAAAAAAGTCAATTGTTTAGATTTCCCTTTTCGATATTCTGTTAAAAACAAGAGAAAAGATACTGTGGTCACTGCCATGGGATCAAGACAACCGAAGTCTGTGAACTACTCAACCAAAAGACCTAACTGTTTAAGACTGTGCAATGCTACTTCCATTCGCCTTCTTTTCTCCACTTACAGCTTCGTTGAAATTAGTCTACCACCACTAGTAGCCTAACTTAGCTATTAAAGAATCAAGGAAGCAATACCACTGGGGCAGGCAGAGGCCAGAACATACTGAAGCCACAGAAGCACAGAACAAGCTCTGGCTTCCTTATTCAGCTCACACTGTGAGGAATAAAGATGGTTCTCTCTTCCTAGACCAGAAGAAACACTGCATTAAAAATTTCTTTCCAAAGTAGAGGTGAAAAGATTTACTTTGCTAAAAAGCTCTTACAGCTTGCATCCACACTGAAACCAGCTGCTCTAGCTCCATTTTAGCCTGTTTAGACAGCTCCAAAATGTGTTCTCTGTGCTCATGACTGGTATAGGCAGAGTCTGTGAAGTCTTCCGTATGTTCCAGGATAACTTCCAGCATTGTTGAAAGGTTCTCTTTTGAGAGAAAATAAAGATTCTCACGAAGACCCTCCACCTTATTCTGAAAAAGAAGCATATCAGTTCCTTTAGAACTTATGTGGTTATACAGTTGTGACGGAAATGTAGAAAGCAGATGCATCATTTTAAATCTTATTTTTCTCCTTAGTGCATTTTATAATTATTCACTTATTTTCAAAGTTATCCAACAACTTGCTTGCATCCAGACATTCAGTTTAGGGATTAAGATTTTTTTTTAAAAAAAAAAGTAATAATAATATTAGCAAATTACTGGCCACTTATCAGAAGTAACAGCAAATACATTACTGTTCCACTGCTGTCAATACAAAGCTTTTAAGTGCGGTAAGTTTCAGAAATTAATTGTGTATTCAAATTTTGGGTTATTTTTCCACATTCATACAATCTATTTTGAGTATTTTTCTAAAAATTTACAAGTAGCAAATTGAATACTTTGAGGCACTTACCAAAATTTCAAACAAATTCTAAAACAGGGCAGGAATAAATAAATAAAAATAATAACAAAATCAAAGCGACAGACTCCAAAGAAATAAGACATTGTTGTTCATTAACTGTTCTTAACTGAGTATGAAATTTAGGGAAGCCTTTATCAGGAAAAATCGTCTGAGCTACAAGATATAATTTCAGTTCATAGTATTTCCTTTGAATGACAGTTTGCTCTTTTAAACATTTAGATGAATATTTTTGTGTGCAGTATTAAAAATACAAAGCAAGAATTCTTCAACAACAACTATTTTAATGAACTTCTGATTGGTACCCTAATAACTTCAAGTTTATTCAACATCAAGTCATCACCTGAACAAAGTATCAGAGTTCTGAATGCATTCTGATTCAGGAGGAGATGGCAAGTATCAGAAGGTGTATTTTGGCAATGACAATAAAATTATAATCACCTCCTGTCAGATTCTCTTAACATTTTGGGATAGTTATTTAAGTTAACACTGCTGAAAAGATGCAGCTCCACCATTTGGAATTTAAAAAAACATGTATTTTTTTCAAATTATAGTTTTGAGGTGATTTAATAGGCTGTAGAAAACAATACTATTTCTACTCTTACCTTGAATTCTTTGATGCCTGAATATATGCTAATAGGGGCCATTTCATTTTCTCCATTTGGTCTAGAGTCAGTTACAATTTCTACTACCTGTTCCAACGCTAATCTCATCCGATGAAAAACTCCATCTTTGTTTATACGAGCAGATTCACAGTCTGGATGCCTCAGACAAGTCTTTTCAAAGAAAGCAAAGTACATATTATGAAAGAGTACGCACGCAGTATAGCGAAATGAATGCTTCCTGCTAAGGCAAGTCTAAAGAATATGTTGGAATATGACAAATTATTTCTGTTAAACTGCTATTGTGTTAAGTAGAACTCATACCATTACTCAGAATACAAAGATTTTGCTCTACTCATTCTTTACTCTTACACCCTTCTTTAGCATGATGTTTAAAGTGGGGCTGAGAAAGAGTCAGCCATCCTGCCAGATGCCATACTCTCATTTTTCCAAGTTGTGTAAGAGTGCACATACTCACCTTTGAAGCAGTTAGGAGCATCATGGTGCACTTCTCAAGAACAGCTCTAGATGCTGCCATTCTAGCCTTTTTCTTCTCATCCTTTAAATCCTAAACACCAGAAGAAAAAAATGACCTGAATATTACACAGTATCTAAAATATTAATTGCCTGTGCGACTGGAAAAAGGAAGCTCTCTTGCAGACGGATGGGTTGTAAGAAAGTTTCTTCATGTCTGACAACTGCTATTTTCAGCCTAACTCATGATCTAGGACTTGCTTTTCAGACAGATTTTTAATTTATGCATTTATTCTTGGCAGATTTCTATTCAATGCAGATTTCAAAGAAGGAAGATCTCAGAGATACAGACCATGTTATGTAAACTGTCACTAATTTTGCTATCTTTATCATACAGCATTATTTGTAAAACAAGAAAATGAGGGGAAAAAGAACAGCTGACTAAAAAATATTTTCTGAAGTGGGGGGAGGGTAAAGCACAGAGAATACCAGCTCTTCATTGTACTGCAGTGAAGGTAATGTAAAATAAGTATTTTGTTTACTTGAGTGTTATATTTACTACACACCAGTAATAAACAGGCTAAAAAAAGTAATTCCTCTGTAGAAAGGCATTGAGTACAGACACCTTTCAAGAACTCTCCAAAACTGAACTATACTCCCAGAAAAGTTCATCAAAAAGGAAAAATTTAGAGTCCAAATTGGAATGGGGGTGGGAAGGAGGGAAGAGGACAAAACATGAATCCTTCAACATGCAAGAGAGTCTAACAAGAGGAAGAACTTAAATACATACTACAACTAATCTCTTCTCAATGCTCCTGAAGACAGCAGAGTGCTATTTGAATGCTGAACAGGCAACTGAATGGGACTAGCTGAAAACAGAACAGTTTACAAGATGGAATTAATCTTAATATACCCTAGGGTAGCAAAACCCCCAGATGAATCACAGCAGCAGTCTGCTTTGACATTTTTATAAAAATCTTGTTTAGCAACTACAGAAAATCTTTAAGATCAAACTCATGACATTAAAAAAAAAACCAACACAGTACATTTCTTAAATTCTGACATTGCATTCTGATAAATCTGACCACACTCAAGAGTTTCTGGTATACTTATTATAAACACTAAGAAAAAATACTTTGAGAGATGTTTCCTCCCAATAAAACTAACAATGCCACATAGCAGCCTACACACTGTAAAGTGTGCATATCAAGAAAGTCCTGA